AAAACCTCAGTCAGGGTAGCCGAGTAGTCTAACCACTCGTTGTGCTGACTTGGCCGTCTTTTGGGGATGGCTTCGGCTGGCCTGCTGAACATCAGTCGCCCTCGGTTGCCCTTGGGTGAACTCTGGCAGCCCTCATTCGGCACGAGTGTCTTCCGAGTTGCCGAACTAAGGGGTTCCCCACACCAGCTAACATCGAGTCAAATCTCTCAGTTAGTGCTCTGATGTGGTCGGCAAAGAAAGGGACCCCCAGATCCTCATGTATTTGCCTGTTACTAACGTACCAGGGCGCGTTAGTAACAATTCGAAGACACTTGGATTGCAGAACTTGCAGCTTCTGGACGTGGCTGTGGGCAGCTGACCTCCAGATCGGGCATGCGTAATCCATTATGGGACGGATGAGTTGCTTATAGAGTAGTACACCGTTCCTGATTGACAGGCCACTCCTCCTATTGAAGTTCATGTTAATATTTAAAGACTAAGTCCTTACCGCAAAGAAAACACAACACTTCACCATAACATGGATCAGCTTATTAACGCCGTTTAAGGCAATTAGTATATTTGGCACTGAGCTTTAGAAAGCTGGGAAATACTTTTTCTAAAACAATTTTTACTTTTGATATTTATAATGTCAATAACCTGTGAACACTCACGTAATTTTTAACCCTTCAAAGTGTAGTGGTAACTGTACTTACCAGCTCGTTTAACAATCATTAACTCTTCATTTTGTATTTATGTGTTTTGTGTGATTCTCAGTTGTAAACAGCGATTATTTCCTTAAACAGCGTTAACCAGTTGATCTTCGTAATGGTTAAGTGTAGTGTTTTCTTCGCGGTACGGACTGAATTCCTAAACATTTTTTAGTCTAGCTTCGGCAAGCAGTTATTTTGCGTAGACGCATGGGGAGGGCAATGCATGATCAATCCGAACGACGTCTGGAGCTTGCTTCTACACTTCGGCGCTGTGGGACGCCATGGCTCTCTTGTGCGTGAGCTTGTCAGACGGATGGGCCGGGGTGTCAGAACAAAATAGTACGACGATCTGATTTACGTTCCCCCAGCATTGACGTCACGAGTTGCCCTCACAATGCGTTCTCAGAAGTCACTGGATACTGGAACTTTCTCTCATAGCCTCTTAAAATACTCTACTCCTGTTCGTTGTATCAGACGCCTTTGTTACGTGAAAGCTCTTAAGATGATGTTAAATCTTATACAATTCTGTGTCTTGTGTAGAACATAATTGCTCAATAATTCAGCTTTATAGCCATTCGGCATCGCTGTTTAGAATTTAGAAGCGTCGTGATTTCTCTCCCGCAAAAACACTGTTATTTATTTTCATTTCACTCCTGGGATATGTAATGGTTTTACAAGAGAACTTGCTTTTTATAACAAACTTCCGAGGGCCGTGAACATTTTTTTCCCGTCCAGGTGCGTTTCTATTTAAAATGGATTAAAGAAACTCGCTCGATTTAGTTGTCAAAGTATTTAAAAATGTTCCCGTCTTTTATGGAAACAAAATGTTTATAAATATGTTCACAAGAGCCCTCCACCTGTTCCTATCCTGAGCCAAATGAATTCAGTATACATTTTCGCATCCCATTTCTTTAAGATCCGTTTTAATATTATCATTCCCTGTGCGTCTCGATCTTCCGAGTGGTCTGTTTCTTCAGGTATTCCCGCCAATTCATTTCTCATCTCACCCGTGCATGCTATATTCCCAGACTACTTTATCTCCCGTGATTTGACATATGCTTATAGGTAACAAGTATTTTAATTTATTTTTACTTGTGATAAGAGCATACTTAATCAAGGCGGACGGTAATTAATGTCGTTAAGTCAGAGGCTGATGGAGTCTGATGTTGTTAAGATATAAATTTTGTGACCTAAAGCTATATTGAAGCTTAAATGGATGCTTGAGTAGCTAATATAGTCCAATCATTCGTCCGTGT